CACGCTCATCTTCGTCTGCGGCATGCAACTGGTAAGGGACGCGGGGTCCTCCGATTCCGCAGCGCGCCCTGGAGAGAGGGGCAGGGGTCCGGAGAGGGCCCGTGATCGGTGGGAGCGGGGGAAAGTAAGAGGGAGAGGTGGCAGATATGCTGCCCATTTATGAAATGATTTCGGGACGCGCACCGGGGGAACAGGAGAGGGGCGCTTTCCAGCCCCCACCTATTTCTGTCCCTCTGAAGACAGTTTGGCGGGTGCGGGTTAAACTTGGCTTTAATTTATTGAAGCAAAGCAAGGCTGAGCTCTTGTTCTTTTATGCTTTGCATTCCTGTTAATCCAACAACGGGATCGCCACCTGTGATTTACTAGACAGGTGTTAACACAGAGACACGGAAGTGTTTACTTTTTCCCTATATACTATGTTCTGCAGTGTATTTGTTTCTTCGTTGGCATGTGGTGTTTTTCACGGGACATACTGTCTTATAAGTACAATGCTGGACGGACCACTAGTAGGGCAGATGGTATCTTGACAGTGGTTTCATCTGGAAGCCACATTGAGTTTTAAAAGTATGTAGATTGAAGAGAAATACTTGAATGAACTTAGCAACACCATTGTCATTGACTGAACCGGTCGCCTTCAAATCACAATTATTACAAACGATTCTAAGGAAAAAATATTCTGTCTTCCATTATGTATGCGACTGCTCCTGAAATAGACACTGTTGTCTGATCCTGTAGGGTGGAGACTTACATGTGCTACTTTTTGAGGAATGTTGTTCAGTTGTAAAGAGGCAGGGAACCGATAATGGAAAAGTGTCATGTCCCTGAATTTAAATTCCCTAAGGGCAATAGAAAGAGGGGCTGAAAATACTTTAAAGGTGAAAAATGTACCACTGTAAGTGGGTAATTTGAGGTAGGAGGTACTTGCTCTCTCCTGTTATAAAATAGCTCTCCCTGGAAAGTATATATTAATCTGAATAGCCACTTAATGCTTCCAGCAGCTGTTTCGTAAAAGGCTGAAAGGACTACAAGGCTGAAGGAAATTTCTGAGAGCCCAGTCAGCCAAGTGTTCAAAGGAGCAAGGTCTTGCTATTGAAACGGATAGAATTCCTTAAGTGTTCTTCTTTGTTTATCAGTTGTCATGAGTGGTGGTTGCTGTTATTGTTTTGTTTAGTATTTAGCTGAAGTAGTTCTTTTTCTTGTATATTATCTCAAGATGTTTTTCTTTTCAAGGGAAGTTATCTGATGTTGTATATTTTGATCTTGGAATTACTTGGTTTAAGAAAAAGAAGATAGACATATAAATATACTTTTAAAAATATAATATTTTCTCGATGATGTGTAAACCACTTTATTTTTTCCTACCACACATTAATTTAAATTTGGCAATAAAGGATTTTTACTCTTAATGAGGAAGCTGATCAGAACAAGAAGCTAGCTTACTTTGTTAAAGTACATTAGGCTAAGTATGCCAAATAGCATAAACATTTTCAAAACATTTTTATATTCATATATGAATCGGGAAATAATACATTTGCTTATTCATTGTGTAAAAGCATAAAACTGTGAGAGTGAGTGGGTGGGTAAGATCATTCATGTGCTCTAATTTTTAATTTAAAAATATGATTTAACTTTAATCATTTAACATAGTAGGGCTTTGTTATGGCAAATGTGGCCATTAGATCTGTATGGTGTTTCGTGTGACTACAAACTCCTCAAGAACTTAAACAATTTTAGAAAAAGATAAATATACAAATAGAGAAGCTAAATACACAAAGTAACAGGATAGGGCTAAAGGTTTCTGTGTGTGTGTGTGTGTGTTCATGTGCATGCTTACATGCAATGGTATGTTGGAAAGGGGCTACATCACTTATGAAACAGAAATCTGAATCAAAGCTAAGTTCTCTAACAAAATAGAATTTGCTGCGTTATAGGAGTACTCAATGCAAGCAAGTTTATACATTTGAATCCCAAGGAATATTTTATGCTCAATAAGGATCCTGAGAAGTATTTTCCTATTCAGACATATGTGCTACCAGGATAACATAATTAGCAGCCATGTTCATGCAGATGCAGAACAAAAACAGAGGGTGAAGAATATCCCATTGGTTTGATAGGGTGAAATGATCACACTGAAAGGACCTCGGAGACTTCTGGTAATTGCTTCTTAGAAATACAGTATCTCATTTTAAGTAAAATAATTATTTTCTAAGTTAACAGTTCCAAAGCACTAAACAACAAAAAAATAGTGGGTATATGTATTTTCCTTTGCTCTTGATAGATCTTTAAAAAGTTTTTGTATCTTTGAGCTATTATGAGTAAAGATTGTTTTATAAGCAGCCAGGTTTCCAGAATAAGTTATGACTCCTGTACCCGATTGACACAAAAGTTCACTTAGTTTTGTTTACTTCTGAAGTGTGTAGTGTGGGTTCTTACAACATTTGGGTGTAGTCTTTTTGTAGCTGTACAGAACATTTTTAGTTTATTAAAATTGAAGACCATGATAGTCTAAGACAGAAACTTTATTCAGTTTCTTTCTTAAGTAACTTTATTAAGTTTCTGAAAACATTTACCTCCAATTCCGTGAGTAGAGTATATTTTCATTAGACTTAAAGGAATATTCATGTCTACCTAAGCTTGCAACTAATCTTAGGAGGAGGTGAGGTAGCTTTTGGTGTTGTGGAAATGGGAACCTCATTCGTTACTTTATGAACGATTGAAGGACAGAGACTATCCCTCCAGAGAAAGTTACCTGTCAAGATTCTAAATAGTTGCTTTTAATTATGTTAAACATGCTTTTAATTTAATGTTTGGCAGACTACAAGTGTAGATAAACATACATTCTTTTAAAAATCATGAAATCAGGTTATAAGACAAGAAATTAAAATTTCATATACTAGAGATTTAATACAAAACTTCCATGTCATGTCTCTGTCTACCATAAATTAAGATATTTGAGCTATATGGTTATTCTAACTTCAGCATTTAGGGTGATTCCTACCAAAAGGGGTGTGATATCTGGAAACTGATTTGCTGCATGTGCAGAAACCAGAGTTTATGCTCGTAATCTCAAGAAGGTAATTTTCTTTTTATCATTGCTGTTCTTAATGCTCAGAAACTGAAGATTCCAGTTAGTAATAAACATCACCATGGCATTTGAAGTGGTGGGTGTAGTGGGTATAAGATAAGAACAATTTAAATTCTTGTTTACAATTTGCAGCAGTTTGAAAAAGTTTCAGCTTTTTAAAAATGTTTGATTGAATGAAAGAGTCCTTTATATAAATATTGAAAAATTTTACCAGATATTTCTCAGTGAAAAAAATCACTTAGTTATAATATGGAAGACTATAACTTATTTTAGATGACAAAGACAGCTTTGTTTTCAAGTAAGGAAATTCAAAATTGCCCATATTTTTGTGCTCTAGACTCCTATGTGGCACAAAGCATGAGTCCTAAACTATTGAAGGAAAGTAGATTCACAGTCAACAGATTAACACTTGAAAATGTCATCCTTGCCATATGCTCCATGAAATATTGTTAACTTAGAGCAGGTGCAACCAACAGTTGGGTTAGTACACATGTGTGTGCAGCTGTGTAAGGAAGTACATTTGAAGCTTAAGAATGGTTGGTTGCTTTCTACTGCACAGTTACTAAGCATTTTCAGAGACACACATTTCTTAGAGGAGGCCATGAGTTCATAGGTGAGCTAAACAAAAAACACATTTATTACAATAATGGAATATCTAGTGGTGTCAGTTGTGATTTTGTGCAGTGTTCATACTTACATGCTTTTTGATTATGTCTTAGAAAATAAGGCATTACATGCAGTATCTTGAAAAGTGCAGATAGAATGTTTTACTTTTCCTAGGATACTTTTCCCAAGTTTGAAAGTTCTCCAAAAGTGCAGAATTTTGCCTGTCAGAAACACTCCTGCTCAGAGAATGAAACATTTTAGATTCACATATCATTGATAATCAGATCTTGAGGTCATTAATCAACCTGATTCCTGGAGAAGACTAAAACTTTCCATGTAATATTTCAGAAACTTAAGGTGTAAAAATATGNAATCTTGAGGTCATTAATCAATCTGATTCCTGGAGAAGACTAAAACTTTCCATGTAATATTTCAGAAACTTAAGGTGTAAAAATATGCTGTGAGTTTGCTGAAATTACTTTCTTCTTTTTAGATGTTGCCTACATTTGCATCCCAACATTTTGACACACACACACACATATTTAAATTTATTATTTTATTGTAACTCAGTACTACTCTCCTCTAATGTTTACCAAGAAAGATGTAGAAACTTCTTCCAGGGTCCAGTTCTCTTGGTTCACAACCAAGTAGTAGCTTTTTTTCCTCATACACCTGAAGTTTCAAATAGCCAATCTGTGCAGAGCTGTTTCTCTTTCTCAAATAAAAGAAAGCCTTGGATGGGCAGCATTTCCTGTGCAGAATGCCAGTCATCTCTGGCAGGGGCCCATATGTGGGCAATGGCCCAGAAATGCAAACGGGCATCGCCACCTCCTTTCCCTCTGGTGCTGCTTTCCTTTGGGGTCAGATTCTCTTCTTGCCCAGTCAAGAATTTCAGAATGGCAGCCAGGGACTCTTTAAAATAGGATGTCTTTATTTCTTGGTCTGTTTCTTTTTGTGTGTGTGTGTGTGCTTGACAAAAATAAAATCTGAGACACATTATGAAATTTCTATATTTATACTAGATATAAAAATATTAAAATTATGCCAGCCATTGCATTAAATATTTGTATGTATTACTAATGGCTAAAATTTCATTGACTATACTTCAGTTATTTAGTAGAATTTCAAGCAGCTCAGTGTAATTTTTCCAAAAGTTGTTTTGGAACTAATATTGCTAGTAATGGAAATGACCCTATCTCCGTGCTTTATAACATGCAAACAGCAGAAATCAAGCACACATGCAGGAGAAATATTTCTAGTCTTTTTCATCTAGAAATATTATCTAGTTTTTTTCAGCTAGATAATGAACTCTTCCAATCTTGGTGCCCTTTCTCTCCCAT